TCCCGGCTCGGCCGCGGCCCGGAGGGGGTGTGCGGTCTGCTGGGGCTGGTGGGGGGGGAGGCCGGGGCGGGGCTGGGGACACCCCGATTTAACGCTGAGCTGGGCAGGCGCCGGAGCAGCCGGACATTTGGGCCCAAAGCCTTGCGTTGCAGGAAATCTTGTTGGAAAAAATCAACTCGGGGTGCAGCAGCTGGCGTGAGGCACAAGGCATGTATCGTGCTACGATAGGGCGTTATCCCGATCCCTGTGGTTGTTTCAGCTAACCGCTGCCATGGGTGCAAACAATCTAAGGAGAAAACTATGCGAAAGGGCATGCGAAGGGAGGGGAAGGTGCCTGGCTTGATGCTGGTTGTCTGCATAGATTAGACTCTCTGCTCCTTGCTCAGCAGCCCTGAGGAAAACGCCCTCCGATCATCAGTGCAAGGTGCTGGTGGAGGGCTAGCATTCCTCTTCCAAGCCGCCGAGCCATTCCGTCCCTGCGGCCGTGACAAGGCCGTGGGAGGTTGGCTGAGTGATCGGCAAGTTCTCGGCAAGCACCGTGATCTTTGCACTGACACACTCTTGCCATGGACCTGAAGAAACAAATTTGCCCTTACTGAGAAAGAAAGAGTTGGTGAAAAGCTGCTGTTGGTGCCTGGTTCAGTTTTGGAATGATACATGGGGAGCCTAAAATCAGCTAATCAGGGAAATGCTGCCAAAAGCTCTAGTGCTGTGTACGAATCGACTGTATTGGCTGTGCCTGAAGCATTTTGCCACTGTTCAGCCTCCCGAGGCTCCCGGTGTCCCTGCGCAGCCCCAGCCAGGCTTCCAGGTCTTGCAGTGACCTACTGAGACAGGAACCGCTTCCAATTCACATGCTGTTTGCCAAGATGTGAATTCTTTTTATTAACTTGAGGCTGTGTCTTTTGTTTTGTACTTTTAGGCTAAAATATCTCCTTCGTACTGGTGCAGTTTTGGAGCCCACACAAGTTGAGTCCCTTTTAAGTAAACAGCCTGCTAAGAAGCCATCAAACAACTAAAGCTCTTACCGATTTCACCTAGGTCTGGCTCTAAGGTTTAACACTGCTTCGCTTTTTTCGTTGCAGATTTTCATAAATAATGAATGGCATGATGCAGTCAGTAAGAAAACCTTCCCTTCTGTCAATCCAGCAACAGGAGAAGTTATCTGCCAGGTTGCTGAGGGTGATAAGGTAAGCGTTCTCTTGACGAGATCGGTTTGTTTTCCGCGTGAGCAGGTCCACAGGGATTGCAGAGGAAGACACGAACTCGTCTCTCACCTAGGCAGCTCCGCTGAGTGCCGTGTTTGCAGTAGTAAGTGTCTGACCTCTACAAATACCATGTTCAGTGCTGCTTGTGTTCTTTCTTGACTACTGCTTTCAGCAAAAACCCTCTGGCTTTGCCTCTTACCAGTGGCAAGCCGGGACTAGAAAGGGCGTAGAGGAATAGATGTGGTGTGCAGTGGAGCCTGAGTCGGGAGGTTGGGGAGCAGTCGCGGGTGGAGGTTACTGGGGCAGGCAGGGATGAAGGCGGACACCTTTGCGGCCCTGTGGGTGCTGTGCCGGCAGTGTGACCCAGCATCACGGTAGCAGAGGAGACAAAAGGTCAGGATTCACCTGAACAGCCCCTTTCTGCTGTACACATGCAGTGGGAGACCATCCCCAGCCCTAGGAGATTAAAAAAAGAAAAAGAGAGCGCGATGGTGGGGACGAGCCACGTAATCATCCCATGCCTTATGCAAGGCCCTCCTAGGAGTCTGTGGCAGAGCTGAGGTGGTGTTTCCCAGCAATTTTGGGTTCTTCCTACAGTCTGGAAACTTGTCTGTATTCCCCAAGGGAGGGGTGAGTGAGGGAAATCCTTTGTTGTTTGCTTGTCCATGG